TATAAACATGGGGGTGCATGTGTCCCTTCAAAACAGCATACTTGGATCCCTTGGATAAATACCTAGTAGTACAATTGCTGTGTTGTAGGGTAGTTCTATTTTTAATTGTTTGAGGAACCTCCATACTGTTTCCAGAGGGGCTGTACCAGTTTGCATTCCCACCAGCATTGCAAAAGAGATGCTCTTTCTCTGCATCCTCACCAACATCTGTTGTTGCCTGAGTTGTATCTATCTATCTATCTATCTATCTATCTATCTATCATCTTTTAAGTTTACATCCAAGTTAGTTAGCATATAGTGCAATAATGATTTCAGAAGTACATTCCAGTAATTCATCCCCTATGTATAACACCCAGTGCTCATCCCAAGGGTCTTCCTTCATGCCCCTTGCCCATTTAGCCCACCCCCAACCCACAACCCCTCCAGCAACCCTCAGTTTGTTCTCCATATTTAAGAGTCCCTTATGTTAATGTGTTTTGTATTGTAAAGTCCTCATATGAGTGAAGTCATATGATATTTGTCTTTCTCTGACTAATTTAGCTTAGCATGATACCCTCTAGTTCCATCCAGTTTTTATCTATTTTTATCTATTTGCCTGCCAGTGGACATTTAGGTTGTTTCCCCATTGCGTTTGAAGTCTTTGTGCATGTGTATGTTTTCTTCTTCTGAATAATTACCTAAGGTTAGAATTGCTGACCTGTAAGTATAATGTTCAATTTTATGAGGAAACTGCCAAAAGTTCTCCAAGGTGGCTATACCACATTTCACTCCCACCAGCAATGTATGGGAGTTCCAATTGTTTCACATCCTTGCCAGTACTTGGTGTTATTAGTCTAAAGATGGTTTTGAAAACATAATAGAATGAATATTGAAGACCTTATTCCAAAGCACCTAGGGTCATAACATCTTAAATCTCTAGTTCATTCTTATTTTTCTGATGAGATGAGAGATGCATAGAGGTTATGATTTTCCTGAAATTTCATAACTAATAGGCATAGGACAAATGGATCCTTGCTTTTACTTGTTTATTTCCCTGTATTTTTATAGTAGCTTATAAAGTCAGTTCACTGTAGTAAATATTTGCGGATATCTGCTGTGCACAAACGCAGCATTCTTCTGTCAGTTAAATATTTATGGAATTCTGGCTAGGTGCCAGATCCTGTTTGGGTGAAATCAGGTCCAGTATCTGCTCTCAACAGGGACACAGTCTAGTGGCATGATAGATATGTAAATAAGATAAGTACATAAAGTATAACAGTCAAGATACTTCGGTGCAAAGGAATGAGTTAGCAAGGGAGAGGTGTGATCTGGAGGGGGGCAAGGAGGTTCAGGGGAAGCTTCCAAGAAGAGCATATGGCTCTGTAGAATTCTGAAGGCTGGGTATGAGTTTTGGAGGCAGACTAAAGGAAGGAGGGTCACCTGGGCATAAGGTGCCATTTATGTCAAAGTGCAAAAGTTTCTTTAGACATATTTTCTCATTTGATTTTGGTGACAGGGTAATTTGAATATGGGCTGGGTATTAAATAAGATGAGAAGTTATTGACATGAACAGATAGAGAATGTTAGCAGAAAAAGGCAGGATAGAAAACACTATGGTATGCTCTCATTTTGGAAAAAAATTGTATGTGTACACAAATATTTGGAAGTACACTAATGGTGTATTAACAGTGATAATCTTTGGGTGGTGGGAATATGGCATTTTTAGAAATTTGGTCATCTGTATTGTTACATTTCTACAATATTCATATGCTGCTTTTTTAAAGTTTATTTTTGAGAGAGAGAGAGAGAGAGGTAGCGTGAGTGAGGGAAGGGTAGAGAGCAAGGGAGTGAGAGAGAATCCCAAGTAGACTCTGCGCTGTCAGCATGGAGCCGAATGCAGGGCTCAATCCCACAACTCTGGGATCATGACCTGAGCTGAAACCAAGAGTCGGACACTTAATGGACTGAGCCACCCAGGCGCCTCTCACATACCGATTTTGTAATAAAGTTTATTTTCATTTTAAAAAGAAGAATAAAGCCATTGGATTTCAGGTCACCCACAGGGAGGTTATAGATAGAGAAGAAAATGGGCCTCAGGATCAAGCCCTGGGAGTGAGGAGGAAATTTGTGTATCAAAGTTATATTGCTAACTCTAGTACTGTGTGGTATAGTAGGGTACTCACTCCAGGTTTATATATGCTCTAGGCCTGAATGTGAGGGATAAAAATTGCAGTGTGCACCTGCAGTCTTCCTAATTAGGTACATTTGGGGTATAT